TTCCCTCGTTGATTAGAATGGGTGGAACACCACTAATAATGGAACGGCTTTTCCTGGTTTTTCTGTGGGTTAGATGTTTTTTTTTTTCTGCATATACAGTATAACTGAAATGCGGTCTGGACGCATTTCAGTCCAGATCCTTCTCCGATTTAAATTCCTCTGTTGAATAATAAAGAGGAGAGTCAGACACCAGGGAACACTGACTGTTGAGAATCTTAAGTCTTTCATTAAACCAGAATAGGTGGTTTGTGGGGGTGGGTGGGTCGTAAAACTGCAACAACTGTTGTACCACATTTTGTCTGTGTTTCTGGCATCAATTTCTAATTTAGTTTATGGTAAATAAGTAGAATCTGGATGGTCAGTGTCATTCTAAATGAAGATTAAATAACCAATCTGTACCTGTGTTTCTGGCATCAATTTCTAATTTGGTTTATGGTAAATAAGTAACCAATCTGTATTTACTTTTTCTATTTTGATTTTTTTTTTAAAGTATGACCTATTATTTATAAATTGTTTATTTTTTCAAACATAATAACTGTGTAATTGTAGATGTTTTCAAACAGGGACATTTGAACTAGACATAACACTGATGAAAACTGCATTAATGACACACATCAGTCCACTTCACTGAAGTATAAGGAGTGAATGCATCACCGTCAGCCTCTGTCAGGTCGATTTAAAGATACATTTAGCTAGTTTCTTCGAACATTGTGTTGTTGTTTTTTTTAACATAAACAATAAGTTAACTACTGAATTTTTATTTCCTGTAATGTTAAGATCAATACACATTGATGGGGCAGAGGTCAGGAGCAGTTACCATCACACTGCCTCGCTGCCCTGTGCTGTAAGTGGGCGGTGGCTAACAGTAGAGCGACGGCTTCAGCGCTCCTGAAAGTCCATCTCGTGTTAGTTGTTTGGATAATTCTTGTAAGTTATGATGGGATTGATTTGGAATCTGAGTTGCTCACTTGTAAAAACGTAGGTTCGTATTGTTATTCAAAGTGAAGTGTGGTGATTTCAAGTCACCGTTACGTAGAAATATCCGAGCTGTTTCACGGCTGAGTCACAGCTCTGTTAGTGTGTCACTCCCAGAATGTCTGGCCCATTGATCAGAATAGGCTGCAGAGTATCTCTGCCTCTGTGTCTGTGTGTGTCTGTGTGCACACATGCATGTGCACTCTGACCTGTTTGTGCAACAGAGTGTGATGCCAGCGGATGCTTTTTCAGGGTCAGTGCCAGTGTGGGACTAAATAGACCATGAGTCCACGAGCCGTGGCAGCCACCAGTGGACGCTCTGCTCACTGTCAGTGCTGCGTCTGTCACAGCAGCACTGGGCCACACGGAGCAAACTGGGCTTCACACAGCGTCGCTGCTGCTGTTGGCCTCCGCCGTCGCTTTCACTTCCAACCTGCACTTTTGAAAAACAATTTGAAAGGGTTATGTATTCAGATGTTGACAGGGGGTAGGTAGTTCAACTTTCTCTGAGGAGATTCTGGTGATTTTTTTCTTTCCAATAAAGATCCAAAACTGTGAAAAAACCCTTTCAGATCCAGATTTAATGAATTTTCATTCACACGTTGGCTCATTAAAAAGCAGCTGGTTTCTTCAACATCCAGGTTCTCCTCTGCCAGAGAGAACAGTCCTGCTGGCTGCATGTGTGAGTGTGTGGAAGTGTGACCTTGAATTGTTGGATTCAGCATCTACTATAATTGAACTCTTTTACCTGCACTGCTTACATTTTCTGTCTTGGAGGATTTCCATGCCATGATTAATCGTGATTAATTGTGTTCTAATCATAAATAATTGTGATTAATTCCAATTAGTTGTGGTTAATCATGAAAAATAAACTGTAGTATAGTATAATAGGTATGATAAAACTCACACGTACTACCATCCATTCATCAAATGGTCAAACAGAGAGACTTTAACTGAAACACATCGCTCCTGTGTCCGATATCGCTTTTTGATTAAAATAATAATTGGTAGTAAACTAATTGGAAATCTCATAATTTGAATCAAAGTAAACTAATTGGAAATCTCATAATTTTAAATTAATTTATTTAATTAAATTTTAAAATTTAAATAAATAGTAATTGCACCATTACTTTCATATAAGGTATTTATTTTGTTTTTCTCCTTAAAATCCCACCTTAACACATTAACTACAGATCTTGTTGCTGTGAATTCGTTGCGACTCATTCCCTGCTGGAGGAACAGCAGGAGTTAATTCACTCACACATCTCACGTGTGTGTGTGTGACAGTGATGCATGTGAACGCGTTCCAACATGTGTTGATGCTTTATATGCAGATGAGCTGATGTCAATGTTCCGAGTATGAAGGCATGAGAACATGCAGTCATCAAAGACACTCACGGCAGCCTCAGATCTCAGACCAGCAGCTTTCCTGTCGTCTTTGGATCCTGCTGCACAGTGTGTGTGTGTGCTGACATGTAAGGACACAGTGAAATGTGTGTGTGTGTGTGTGTGTGTGTTTGCATGGATGTCTCCCTCTCCCTTGAGGCGACATCAGTGGGCTGTGTGGATTTTCCAACCTCTGGACTTCTTTCTTGGTTGAGTGGACAGTGTCTACCGCAGCTCCCCTGAGCCCTGATCCCTCACTTTGGACGCACACACACACCCACACACATATACATGGTTTTCTATCAGTGGTAGGACATTTACGGATGTCGTTTATTCTCCACCTGGACTTCTCCACATTGACTCTGACCAAGAATAGGTTTTCTTTAAGGAATCAACTGAAGCATATCTCTTCAGGGTCGTCATGAAATTATAATGACTAATCTAGTGCAGGCTAACCTTTTCTTTTAGTATTTTTATTTTCTTCCATTACATAATGAAGTCTTTTGATTGACATTTGATTTTGTCCTGATAAGTAAATGCTTGATAAAAAAAAAACACTTCTGTCTTGTCCCTCTATCATGGTCTGAGCTCAAATGTCCACATATGATTATCAGATTTTTGCACTGGATGCCGTTCTCAACTGTGTTCAGTCCCTAGTTCCAAAAGGATGGTTCACAGTCCACAATTAGGGCAACTAGGCTGGACTATTTAAAATATATAAATTTGTGATCCTTATTTGTTCCCACAATGAGGGGATTTACAGATTAAGGTATCGAACCAGGAACGTTCTGGTGGCAGAAGGGAGTCCTACCACTAAACCACTGGAGCCCCTGAGAAAAAAAGATAAATACTCCATAAGCTATCCAAATACTGCGTTCGTTATGAAACATTAAAATAAATCCTACAGCAGCAGCCTTGATGTGTCTGTATCTGTTTGTTTGTTTTTTCTGACAATGTTGGTTCTTCACACCTGCATGTACTTTAATTGCACGTACAACAGAAACAGCTCGGTTCTCCTTCTCTGTGAATGTTGTCTTGTTTATCTCACTGAGGAGGAGCAGAAGGAGGAGGGGGAGGGGACGGAGGATAAGGGTGAGGATGAGGAGATGGGAGATGCAGGCAGATCAGAGGAGACAAAGACTCCCAGACTCTCTCTGTGTGTCTGAGTACTGCTGCACTCTGCAGGGAAACAATGGTTCTGTCAGTGGTGCGGCTGTCTGCAGCTTCCTTCAGTTTGCCACTCACTCTGATTCTCCCTGTAAACTGGCAGCGGCGGCTCATTATTTTACCTCTTCGCTGTAGTCGTTGTTTTCCCTCTGTTTGGTGTAAAAGTGGGCAATTAAAGGACGGCTGTCGACTATAATGAGAAGATCTCTCTAAGCAGAACATGCTGCGGTGTGTGTGTGTGTGCGTGGACTGGAAATATACTGTAGAGATTGCAATACTGTGCAGCTTTGGCAAGAGTCTTTAAGTGGAGGTGAAAGCCTTTCCTCGATATTTAGGGTTGTGAAGTGAAAAGTGAAATGCATTTATATACAGTCTGTGAAGGATTTTAATGAGAAAAAGAAAAGTAAATATTCTAATATCTGTCTTTCTGTCAGTCAACAGACACGAGGTAGATGATGTAGGTGGAATGGGTGATGAGTGAAAACATGACAGCAGAAGCTGTGCTGCCACTACAGACTGGTAGTGAGATCTGCTATGACATACATTTTAAAGACCACATTTATTTAAATGGACCAAAATGTAAGTTCATTTATTACTTGTCAGTTTAAAGCAGTTAGAGAGAAGCTAAAAAAAACTAAAACTTAACAAAAACTCAGAAAGAAAATTATTTTATTTTAAATGTTTCAGTCCTCAGTACTAGTTACTAATAACCACGGGTTAGGGGAAAAATAGTGGATAAAAGTAGAAATAGAGAAAGTGGATATCTGTAAAATTAAAGGCAGCTAGGTGAAGGCTTAAAGGCTTTAGGTGAAGTCCAGAGCTAGCTCAAAGCTTGCAATTCTCACATTATTTAACACTAGGATGATGTCACGCTGTGAATCTGTTGCAGATTTCATATTATCAGATCTTCTTCTTGACAAAAACCCCCACAAAAATAAGGCCTCACCTCCAGAGAAAGACATATTCAATGATTCAAGTCGTCTTGTCAGTCTGCCGAGACCTGACTCACAGGAAGTGAGGTTTTTTACATCACTTCAGACAAACGCAGCGGATGGCCATCGTCCTCGACTCCTGGGGCACCTGAAGAACACACACACACACACACACACAGTATTTTTTTGAATAACAATCCACTGCTGGGAATCGTGGTGAAAGTGTAAAGTGTTAGCACAGTGACGAGTGTTCAGCAGAGTGACTGGAGACAACACAACAAACCATTATCCCACTGATTACCACTTTAAGGCTTTTCACCAGAGAGCAGCTGAAGGCAGTGAGAGGAGATCAAACCAAATGCCGTTGTTTCCTCCTCCATCTCAAAGGCCGTCCTCTTCTCACTGATGTCTGCCTCTACAGATAGAATTTAAATATTTTTAGTGGGAGTATAAATCACATACTACTCGCATTTTGATGAATACATTGACCTTTCATTCTCATACCATTCAACATTTCTTTGTTGTCTTGTTTTACTTCAGTTTGCTCCCAGTACTCCAGAGGCGTGTTCGCCATCTTCGGCCTGTACGACAAGCGCTCCGTCCACACGTTGACGTCCTTCTGCAGCGCCCTGCACATCTCCCTCATCACGCCCAGCTTCCCCACCGAGGGCGAGAGTCAGTTCACGCTGCAAATGCGGCCGTCCATCAGAGGAGCCCTGCTGTCCCTCCTGGACCACTACGACTGGAACAAGTTTGTCTTTCTGTACGACACAGACAGAGGTGAGTGACGCCTTCAAGATGCACTGACTAGGATGAAGTTATTCACCACATCAACAACATTTAGGAGTTGGAGTCACTTCAGTGTGATTCCTTATTCAATCACAGCATTGGGAAGATTTGAACATTTTTTTCTTTTTTTTTTCTTCTATAAATTTTCTGCTAAATTCCCTTTTCATAAATCCTGTCATTAGCCACTTTGTGAAGGAACTTGTTGGGTTGGTGGGTGTGATACTAGAAACTCAATGTGCAACAAAACATTAGTCTCTTATTCTCATGAGTAAACACTCAAAGAAAGAAGATTGTGCCTAATCTCTAAATAGTCTTAAGAGGCATAAGATAATCCAGACTGCTGCCAGAAAGTGTTCTCGACTTCTACAGGTTCACTGGTCATCGGCAACAGTTAAGTCAAGAGTTTGCGTGTGTGAAGGTGAGATGGAGTCGTCTGATTTTAACAACTCTTTTAAAGCATCATAACCACAGATTATAAACTTTAATGATCTCAACCTCAGTAATTACATTCATCTTGAGCAACATGTACCTACAGCAGTGAGTAGACAAAGGAAACATGCCAGACAAAACACAAGGTGACTTCAAGCCTTTAACTCCTAACCACCAGTGTCAGTTACTGGTCTGTGGAAAAGGTGACGTTCATTTTAGTCATAATTTCTTTTTAAATCTAGTCATTGAGTTTACTGTGTAAGTTTTGTTTTGATTTCAGTTTTTCTTTATTTCTAACGTCTCTTTTTCTCGGCGTGTGCCGCACCAGGCTTCGTTCTCGTGCTCTCAGCCACACCAGTGTCAGTAGTTTATTTTACCTCCTCGCTCCACCTCTCCCTCTTGTGTCATATTTCCATTACATGACAGAATGGATATGGGCTGCTGCCTGGATCACATCTCCACGGTATGAAGATGGGCCTCCCTTCAGAACAAATTGTTCTCTGCAAACCTCTTCTCTTTCTTATCTCGTGCTGTACATGCTTGAGTGGGTAAAAAAAAGGCCTGCTCTCCACTCCTCTCCAGAAGAAGGAAAATAACAAATCTGATACTATTACTAAAATCAATAATGATTCGAGTTCAGGATTAGTGTGAGAGAAATGCTGATGATTTTCTGTACCCTGGGTTAAAAAATGGGTGTGATGATTCTGATTTGAAGCAGTCACAGACACCAAAGCAAACTGAAGAGTCATGAAAACTGGAGAATAGAAGAAAGATCTTCTTCTCAATCTCCATATCTGGCAGAATGTGAAAGTGTTTGAGTGACGTGTGGTAGAAAAATCAGTTTACAGTAATTGTGTAGATTGTTATGTATTCATAAAGTACTTTTGCAGTCCTAGTGGTTGATACAAAAACCTAAAGAATGTACATAATCATTGAACGTAGTACTCCGTTCTGTTCCGTACTTTGTGTCTTTGTTGCACGATAATGGATGATTTTCTGCTTCATCTCCCTTTGTCTCGGCTTTGTAGTCATTCTGAAGTAGCAATTCAAAAATTCAGAAGGCAGGAGTGTCATCAGTGGAGCGTTTAGATGTGACATGTTCAAACCTGTCACTGAAGATTGATTTGCAGAAATACAAGTGTATCTGTTCCATAGAAAGAAGACTGATGGAAGTCTGAAAACCCTGCTAAGACATTTTTTTGAAAAGGTCTGTGTGTGTGTGTGTGTGTGTGTATGTGTGTTGCCCTTTTGCCTGCAGTCACTGCTTTGTTCCTCTGAGCTTTTAAACTCCTGAGACGTCACCTTTCCTTTAAACTGCAGAGAAAAGAAACTGTCTGTCTGTGTGTAACGATCAGTCTGAACCCAAAGTTTTCAAAAACAAAAGTGAGGTTAATGCAGCTGCAGTGTGGTCCACAGTGAGGGAAAGAATTCTGCTGACGCCTTTGTCAAAACAGAAGTGGAGAAATCAAACCTCTTAAAACGAAAACCACACACTTTGTTCTCTAAACAGTGAGAGTTCTTGCAGGATTTTTATCATTCTGTTTTCATAGACATTAATGCATGAAAAGAAATACCATACAAGATTATCAGCAGCACAAACCTGCAAGGAATAAACCTGAATGTTTGTTGTTTTCATTATAATTCACCTCTTTTTGGGATTTCTGAAACACTTTTCCAATTAATGTGTAACTTGAATAAATGTTTTTGATTGGTTAGTTGATCAGTCAGATGTCAGAAGTCACATGTCTAGAATTCAGTCCGACTATTACCTCTGACCATGGGACTGATACCGAAAGGCATGTTGGAACTGTCCATGGTGCTGAACTCAGACTGCAGCATTGACTGTGGAATTTAGCAGGACTTATTTAAGAAGCAAAGGCAGAAACAACATGCGAATGAGTCTTTGCTTCTCTGTGACAGTAGGTGACTGTCCTTAAATCACAGGACCATGTGGCAGAAGTTTGTAAAAATTATCTGATAATAAAAAATAAATAAATAGAGAACAAAAAATTAAAAGAAATAACAACCAACAATAAAGTGACCATATCAGTTATTATAATGACAATTTGGATTTGAATCACATTTACCAAACAATTATATCGACCAGATATGGATCTGATGGCAAATTTATCTAGACGTTATGTGTGAAAAGAGAAATGATAAATAACTCGGACAAACATCTGAAAGGTTTGCAATTGTTGTGGTTTCTCTATAGTTGCTGAACCTATCAATTCAAACATTATTAAACAGTAATATCACTAAGTAAATCTAAAATTCTACCACTACCCATTTTTAAGCCTATGAGAGGATGTTGTCTTCAGTGTGATTGTGTGTGTGTCTCCTTTTTTGAAAACCTTGGGGATTTGGGTGCAGGCTGCAGCACTGTTTTATTTCACACACACAGGACCAGGCATTCACACAGTATCGACTATAATGTAGCCTCAGCCCACGCATGGCTGAGTTCAGTCAATGAGTGCCAGTCTGATTCTCTGCTGCAAAGCTCAGTGTGATTCAGAGGGTGTGTGTGTGTCTGTGTGTGTCTGTGTCTGTGTCTGTGTTTGGTGCCTTGCATACAGCCACAGACAAAAACAACAAAGATAGAGAATAAAGATTAAAAATAGTTAATTGTTTTTAAAGAATGAAATCTCTTGTGGCAGAAGTAAACATTGGTACTCAAGGTTCATGTTTTTTTTTTTTATTTACAATTATTTATATTTAGGAATATATTGAATAAAGAGGCAAAAAAAAGGATAATAGTTTATTTTTTAATTATGATGGTTGCTGACATTTCACTGTCAACGTTTTAGTCATTTAACAAAGTTAACAATGTAACTCTTAGCAGATTTGAACCTACTGTATGACTAACAGTTTTAACTGAAATTTCAAACATTTTCTAACTAACTTTAAGTGCTACAGGAAATGCTAAAATTAGCTTAGCTTCAAATGTATCTCAGTGTATGTATTTGTGTATAATTTGATATTTTATGACCTTCTGAGAATATTTTTTTGTTAAGATATTACTGCAGCAGAAAAGTATAGCGGTTAGAAGGTTAGAAAACTAAACTTTAAAAATAAGTACAGAGGCTACTGAAGAGAAAAACATCAGCTGATGTCTGTGCAGCAGATGGTCAGCTAGCAGATGAGAATTCCAGGTTGTGATGAATGACTCTGCCCAGAAACAGAAACCTGGGCATGTTCTCCAGAGGAGAAGAGGTCAGAGGACAGGGATGACCAACAGGGAGGATAGAATGAAAGGATGGAAGTTCACTGCATCATACTGCAGTGTGAAAGACAAGACGACAGGGAGGAAAAGATGAGAAGAAGAAGAAAATTACACAGTAAAAGGCACAAGAATCCAGCTGTGGGTCCACTGTTGTCCTCACAGGCTGCAGCAGCTGAACCAGACGTCCAGCATAGGTCTAAACAGTCGTGTTATCTGACGCCTACTGCATCTGGTTGCTGCTGCTGCTCCTCCACACTTGTCCCTGCGGCGTACACATTTATCAGCTGGTAATCAGCTGGACGCTGGGCATGCAGCCGTAACTTCCTGTTTGTGTACAATCTGCACAAAGAGCACCAGCTCCAGCTACAAATGACCATAATTACCCAACCGTTATCTAAAATTCAGAAACAAACAATAATATAACAATAATATAAATTATTATAAAATGTAAACAATATTATCTAAAATTCAGAAACAAACAATAAATGTAGAAATGTTCGTCTAAAAACCAACCAAAGTTGGTAGGAATTAGTATCAGTTCAAACATGGTAAAAGTCGTCGTTCAGCTCCTGGTCTTTACTTTGACGTTTGACAACTAGGTAAATGGTCACAGCAGCTTCAAATGAATTCTGTCAAGTCTTGAAATCTTTGTGATCAAAATTTCAGAGGTTTGTCAATTTTGTGCTAACTCTTAGCAATGACCAACTTTTATCTTGAAAGACCATCTTGAGTAGATTACAACTGATTAACAGTACAGGTCTGAGATTTGAACCACCAACTCTATTGTTCTGCATCATTTTTAAAGCACATTTAAACTTACCTTACAGTCTGATGATCACTGTGTCACGGTGTTTGATACCTAGTCTTTCTGTACGATTGTGTTAAATGTTCGCTCGAGAACGTGAGTGTGAATAGTCTCTGTAGTGATGGACTGCCACTCTGAAGAGAATTTTCTTTTGTGTTTTTAACTGTTCAGACTCATAGTGGAAAGGATCAGCTTGTTCTTTTTGGAGCAACTGAATGTTCTGCTTTTTTGTGTGTCATCGCAATCAGCCGTCCCTCCTGGCACCGACAACCCTCTAATGGGGAGCAAGGTGCTGGGGAGGAGCTGGGGAGGATGAGGGGGAGCTCAGGTTTTGCCAGCGCACAGGTTAATCCACTAATTGGGAGCAAAGGGAGACGGGTTGCCAGATTGTGTTGGCCA